CTTAGAAGTAACCAAAGAAATTCCATTCATAAACTCCTATAACTTACATCACTTTAAGTAAATATATATAAATATATTACAATATAATATATAAATATTATATTGTATACAATATATTTTGTTATGTAATATAATATATTTTTGATATATAAAATATGAATTTCATATGGATACAAAATTAACTTCAAAAAATTAGTAACTTTTTTATATACAAATGACAAACAGACTGAGAAAGTAATCAGGAATACAATACATTTCAAAACATCTTCAAATTGTACAAAATATATTTGAGTAATTCTAACTATACAAGTGAAATTCTTATCCTTGAAATAAATTGAAGAAGATATCAGAAGATAGAATGATCGCCATGCTTATGGATTGGTAGGAGTAACATAATAAAAATGGCCAATTTACCATCTAATGATCTAGATACACACAAACGCACACACAGTGAGAGAGAGGGAGAGAGAGAGAGAGGGAAAGAGAGAGAGAGAGAGAGAGAGAGAGAGAGAGAGAGAGAGAAGATGAAGAAGTAGAAGAAGGAGAAGGAGAAGGAGAAGGAGAAGGAGAAGGAGAAAAAGAAGAAGAAAAGCAGGAGAGCTAAAACAATCCCATACAATAAAAAAAAATGCTTGAGGTATCACCCTTCTCAACTTTGAGTTTTACTACAAAGCTATAGTAATGAAAAACATATTATACAAAGAAACAGCCTACACAAGGGAAAACTGTAATACAAACTCCCCATAATATAGAGGACTAATATTCTGAGCATATAAGGAATTTAAGAAACTAGATATAAAACTTCCCAAATAATCCCATTAAAAGTTGGATACAGATCTAAAACAAATTCACAATAGAGGAAACTCAAATGACTGACAAACTTTTAAAGAAGTGCTCAACATCCTTAGCCATTGAGGAAGTACAAATAAAAGCTAGTTTGAGATTTCATCTTATAGCAGTCAGAATACTTAAAATCAATAATACAAGTGAGAGCTCATACTGTCCAGGATATATAATTATGGAAACTTTCCTCGATTGCTGGTGGAAATGCCAACTTTTACAGCAAGTATGGAAAACTGTTTAAGGTTGTTAGAAAGGTGAGAGTCAATCTACTTCATTATCCAGTTATTCTATTCTTTTGTATATACCCAAAGGATTTTTCATCCTACTACAAGGATATTTGAGAAACATCTTAGATGCCCCTCCACAGAAAACTGGATAAAGAAAATGTGGTACATTTCCCAATGGAATGTTATTGAGCTGTTAAAAAATTATAAAATCAAATTTACAGGGAAATGGAAGGAACTAGAGAAAATAACACTGAGGTGATTGAGACCCAGTATGATAAATAAAGGGTATATTGGATTTTATGTGGTATTAGCTATTACTCAAATGACCAACAAGTTATGTGATCTGTTGTTCCAAAGCAGTTAGATATAGATGAAGGAGTAAGGAAACTCATGGATGTCTCTGGGAGAAGAAAATAGAATATATTTTATGAGTGGGGTGGGTTGTGGGGTGAGGAAACTGGTAAGGGAAAATAAGGTGGTGGAGGGAAGGAGAGCAGGAATTGAGGTAATGTTGGCAGAGACAGAATGGACGGACATTTGAGGAATAGTATAGAAACTTATTTCAGTGATCATTTCCTAAATATATGAATGGAAGAAAAAAATGTCCAAATATAGGGGAGACTGAGCCTACATTTGCTATCTCTTGTCTAGTTTCTAGTACTAGGACTAGGATATATCAAATTGAGTTGTTTTCCAAAGGATGACATGGAAATCTGCCCACCCCAATCCAGGGTGTTGCCAAGGCAATAGATTACTCCCTATAAACTGACAGCAAGGTCCCATTGTTTAAGACAATGCCTATACAATTCATTTTATTTTATGTGAATGAGTATTTTGCTTGCATGTACTGATGAACTACCTATGGGCTAAGTTCTTGTGTAGTCTGAAAAAAATAAATCGTGTGCTCTGGAAATGGTTGTGAGCCACTGTGCAGATGTTGGGAACCAAACTCATGTCCTCTACAAGTGCAATAAGTGTCTTTAAATTGTAACCATCTCTCTAGTCTTATATGTAAAATAAAATTGCAGTTTTGGATATATTTTTGAGAGAGTCAGCAAGGTACCATGGCAACAGTGTTCTCAAGGGCACAGTTCTTGCTTAGGTTGCCATTTAATCGGTCCCAATAGAAATTGCTTACTAAGTAGGGTATAACAATGCAGATCTTGGTTTTGATTGACAAGTTTGAATTATATAAGTCTTTGTTCATTGTGTGTATTATTTTCCATGATTCATCTAATTTAATTTAAATACCATGACTCCTAAATTATTCATAGGCATAAAATGGTGAGTATAGTTGTCTTCCCTAAAACCACACTCAGAGGACAGAATTTGCTTTACTGTGAATGTACTCAAAACCAGTTTATGATGGATCAGCATCCTCATTCCTAAACATGGATAAATAAGAAAATATGCTTGAACAGAAACCATCTACACAATGGATAAATGAAGAGTTCCTGATGATTGTTAGAGTCTGAGAAATCTATTCTGTGCGTGTGACAGTTGATAGGGGTCCAAGTTTCTATGATCCTTCTTAAGAGAGGAACACATATACTTATTCCCTGCAGATGAGTGTCTTAGAGGTTTCTCTTAGTTCCTTTAGTTGATGTTGTACAACATATTCTGAAGAAAGCATCTTAATGGAAAATGGCTTATTAGGCACTCAATTCCTGGTTACACACATCATGACAGGGAAGTGATAATGGCAGCATCTTGAAAGAGCTGGTAATACCATAGCAACAAATTGGAAGAAAAAAGAAGTATGGAATGTACCTCACTCCTTCCATAAATACACACACACACACACACACACACACACACACACACGCACACACACACTGAGGAGGGGGTGGTATATCTTTGGGGGCATAAAGTAGGTTTTCAGAAATGGTACTGTATCCAGTGGGCAGGTTTTCTCACATCAATTATCTGAATTAAAACAATCACAAACATTCTCAGAGAATTTTCCCAGGTGGTTTTAAATTTTGTCAAGATGAGACGTACCACCAACTATGACAGTTGTCAAGTATACTGTTAGAAAAAGTTCCTGTTTGGCCTAAACCAGGTGGAGTCCTGGGTTGCTAAACCACTATCTACATTTTTCTGGTTTCAATTTTCACTATACTTTCTACTTATAATCAGGATCAGGAAGGTTGCAAGAACTTCCTTTGTTAAATTATGAAAAAGCTGTTTCATTGGATGTTGAATTGACAAGGAGACTTGGCTATCCAGTCTGTTACTGAATGTTTAGTTTTCAGTTTGGAGTCAACCATTGTTGAGCTACTCAGCTCTTATCATAGAAGCAACATTTTTCAGTTATACTTTATCATTTCTGACGAATCAATGTGTTCTCTGTTTTCTGTTGATGATTCTCTATTATTTGAGAGACAAAAAGAAAAAAAACCACAACTGATTGATTTTATTAATAAAAGCAGTGATGGACAACAAGCAAACTCCTACAAAGAACATCATATATTTGGATGGGAATGAGTACTATTTTTCCAGATGGATATATACTGTGATGTCATCTCAACTACAGAGTGAATAAATGCTAATTTATTTCATATTTAAGAGGGCCAGATACAGTAAACTGTACATAGCTTACTTAGTCAAAAGATCATGCCAGCATTTAAATATGGTTTAATATGAAGTAGTGAGTCACAGAAAAGTGAGAATTTCAATTCAAAAAATGTATTATGTTTCCAAGGATACAGCTCAGTGTTTAAGTATTACTGAACAAGCTTAAGGAACCTGTGTTTGTATTATGAGTAGCTTTGTAAAGCCAGATGCAGTGGTATAACTATTTATTAACTGCAGTTGCCACATTGAAAGATAAAAAGATAAACAGGAGATATTCTGAACTTCATAGTCCAGCTAGTCTGGCTTGTGCAGCCACAAATGGTAAGCCCTGCCTCAAAGAATTTGAAAGTTCTGCTCAACACTCAACATTGTCCTCTAATGTTCACATACATGTCTAGCACTTGCATATCCTTAGACACACAAACAAACACATATTTACCCAATATATACCAAAGTTGCAAATATGTCTAGTGGTACTAACTCCTACCTATTCCACCTTTATTTTCAAGCTGTGTTTATTCAACATCATTAATAATTTGGAATACAATCCCCATCTTGAGATGTCCAGATATTAATCTTTAGTTGTATGTCTTGAAAGTAAAATAAATTTGTCCTGAAATCAGTAGGTTCGGGGGACTCACTCCTTTTGGTTAATGATATTAGTTTGGCAGAAGGGTCCTTTGTTCAGAGAAATGATTAAGACACTAGATTAAAACTCCATACTTTTGTGTTGAGAAATTATGTCATGGGTGTTAGGAGATATGTTCTTAGTGGATCATGAATGTGATACAGTTTTGTGCATTCTCTAAGAGAAAAATTATCACAAAGTGGTAAAAATAAGTTAAGCTCCTGGATTCACAGAGAAGACAAAAACATCTTCTAGGAATGAATATGTTTGACTCTCCCTCACTAGGAGGCATTTGTAAAATTCTTATATGAAGCTCATTCAAACAGTTGTGATTTCAAGTCTATTTATATAGCGGTCACCAACTTTAAAGGTCACAGACTATGAAAAATACATGATGTAGTCAATTGTCAATATCCCATGTAGTTTGATTCATTTATCCCCTGTAGATAAACAAAAAATCAGATACTAATATCTTCTATATAAACTGACATAGACTGCCATAAATCCTAGACTCATTCTTTCACATATGTTTGGAAGATAAGATATAGGGCACACGTTATTGGCTGGTATCACACTCATTATGTAGATGAGGACTACAATGAAATTTCAGAGATTCTCCTTCAATTTTTTTTTAGTGTTAAGATTACTACAAATGTGTTTTATCAAACCTACTGTATACAGTCCTGGGAATGAAAATAACTTTATTTTTATTTTTATTTTTATAGTCTTGTCAATCACTCTTCCCACTAAATCATATACTCAGCCTATGGAGTCTCAAGGCCTACAGACAAACTCATCATCCAATACACAGGTGGGTTCCATATTTACAGACAGATAATTAAGTAGACAGATATATAGGCAGACAAACAGACTGACAAAACTAGATATATAACCAATAGCTGATATTTGTTCACAATATTGAAATAGGATGCAAAAATATGATGTATTATAGGAGGAGGTAAGGAAATATTTTAACAAAAGTAAAAATGTGTGTGTGTGTGTGTGTGTGTGTGTATATATATATATATATATACATACATACATATGTACAACTCTATTCTTTCACATGTTTAAACTATAAAGAAAATTTTGTCAAAGGGGAAAATATATTTTTATTTTCTCTTACTTTCTCTTGAATGAATACAATTCTAGCTTCCAAGTATACATGGGCAGACAGAAGTGTGTTTTTGGGGATCAGGCATGGCTATGGTAACCTAAATCTGAAGTGATATTGTTAAAAACTCTAGGATGTCACAAAGAGAATGAAAGAGACTATAAGTTTGTTTTATCATCCACAGATTCTACAAAAATTAGATAGAATGTTGAGAATACAGGACTGAAGGAGAGTATGAGTAAAGTGCTTACTGTAAAAAACATCACAGTCTAATCTCAAAAGCCCAGAAGTCATGTAAAAGCGAAGCATGTTAGTGTGTCTCTGTGAGCCCAGTACTCTGAGGCATTGCGGCTTACTGATCAGCTAGTACAACCCTTCACATAATTGCCTTCTGAAATTCCTCAAATCATAGCCATATTGTGATCCTATAAACACATATGAATCCCTAGTCTATTAATTGTCCTTTTTTATTCTAATTTTACTCTGTGCCATTGATATAAGTATCCAATTGATAAGATACTGCCCTTTGTACCAGCAATATTAACATCTTTTCTCCATTATGAAGACAGGAACATGCACACATACACATGAACTATACACAGAACAGCTTAGTCTTAAGATTATTTTGTGAATATCAACGTCTATTCTTTTGATATCAAAAAGTTTGCCAATAAACTGGTTAAACACAAAACCCATCATAAATGAAATAAAATTACTGGAAAATTATCTGACAATAATTTAGAACTATAACTGAATTATTAAGTAAGTTATACATTAATACTTGTAAATAAGTTCAAGACAGGTCTCCACACATCCAGACATGAATTTTCAAATGAGCTGTAATACATGTTGGTTTAACAATGAATTACATTGTTAAAATGTGTTAAAAAGAAATACTTTTATTACAGAAACAAGACTTCAAAAATTATCTTCTGTAAGCACTAATTACTTTTTGTTAACCCCAGTCCATGCTCCACTCTTGATGTTCAAGAGACATATTTTATGAACAAATGGTTCTTTCTCTCTCAAGAAATTGGCAGTCGATACCTGGTTCTGAAAGATATCTGTATTCCCCCTGAACACCAACACTCCAGTGTCATTCCCTTCCTCACATCCTGCCCTTCTGTGTTTATAACTCCTGTGTGAATGAATTACAATTTGAGAAAAAATAATTTAAAAAAAGAAAAACAAAAACAAACAAACAAAAAAAGAAATTGGTAGTCAACTGAAGATGACACAACTGTGTAACTCTCATGCTGACTTCTGTGAAAAGCCCCCTATAGAGAGCTCCTAAGACTATAGCTACAAACTTTACTAGGCAGAAATAACCTATCACTATAGTATCTCAACTATCATCTATCTATCTATCTATCTATCTATCTATCTATCTATCTATCTATCTATCTATCTATGTATCTATCTATCTTGAAATAAACACTGGCTGAACTCTAATTAGACTTTCTCCTGCTCACATGAACTCTAGTCATGTTTTCTCAGTGACTCTATTTCTCACTCCTCATATTAAAGACAAAGAGAATCTCTTCATAATTTAAGTGTATCAGTGTATTTTCTTATTAAAAGACTATTAAATATGTGTAAGAAATTCAGCATTATTCATGAACAGACAATAAGGTGACACCAAAAACTTTTCGTAAAAAAGAACAATGGCTCATCTTGCAACATGTCTGAAGAGTGATTTACCTTCTTAGATTTATTCTTTTTCTCTCTGTGTATACACGTGTGTGTGTGGTAATGGAGGGGTCACAACATGTGGAAGTCAGGGAACAAATTTCTAGAATTGGATATCACCTTTTACATTTATGTGGATTTTGGAAAACTGAATTCTGATGGCAAGGTTTAAATGGTCATACATCTTTATCCAACTGAGCCATTTCACTGGCCCAGAGATAGTATAAATTCTTATACATATATGTTGTTATATACACAAGGTACTTAGAACATATAGAAATACTTGATACTCTCTATGTCTTAGTGTTCATATCCTTTGAAAAGACACCATGATCATGCCAACTCTTATAAACAAAAGCATTTAACAGGGTCTGGCTTACAGTTATAGAGGTTTTATTCATTATCATCATAGTGGTGAAGCATTGTGACATGTAGGCAGACATGGTGTTTGAGAAATAATTGATAAGACTTCTACGATCAAATCTTAAGGCAATAGAAAGAAAGAAAATGAGCTTGGCTTGGGTTTTTGAGATCTCAAGGGCCATCTCTGGTAACACACTTTCTTAAACAGTGCCACATCTCCTAAGCCTTTCAGAGGACTACTCCTTGCTGAGAAATCATTCAAATATATGAGTCTGTGGGTAACTTTCTAATTGAAACTATCACACAATAATTATTGTATCTTAGATACTTTCTGAATTCCATAATAAAGATCGATGTGTATGAATCAATTTTTATTTAGGTCACATTTCATCTAAAACATAAATTGGCATAGCATGCAAGACATGTTTGTAGAACATTTAGAATTGTGCCCTCCCCTAGCCTTGAGCATACTGAATAAGACCTTGTTTACCATAATAGACCTTGCTACAATAGGACCTAGGTGGAGCTATCTGGCCTGGCTGGCCCTGGCTGCAAATACAACTTCCTACAGGAAATTAGAATATACTGCTCACTGAGCTTGTCTTGTGCCATAATCTAGCTGAAACAAAGGATGGGTTCTGTGGGCTTTTTGTATATATACAAAGTGCTGAATATTAAACTTTGAGCCTTGATCAGAGTACTTTGTCTTGGCCTTGTGCTTTTTTTGGCCCCTCTGTCTCTTTTTCATTTCCAGCCCTCCTTTCTGGTGAACTCAGTTTGTCTGTGGGACTGGGCTGCTACATAGAATAATATAATATCCAAAATATAGGGTAAGGTTGAAGATATTTGAATCACATAGATTAAATTCAATCCTCAGGAAGACTGATAAATGCTCAGTGCATTATTTAGTAACTTTTAACTCAGTTTCTCTCTTAAAAACATGCAGATAATGTAATTATAGGTAGAGTTGTAAGCATTCAGTCAAAGTCCTCAGCAGCAAGTCATGAAAGACTTAGGGAGAAGCTTGAATGTATTTGATTATATATATATATATAATGAATATATGACTGAATACTGGTGCCTCTTAGAACACTACCTATGAAAAAACTGCCTCAGCAGATGGTGTCAAGGTTTATACAAGCTACAATGTCAAGTATGAATTCTAGCATAAACAACAAACTGTATGAAAATATATGCTTACTGACTTCAATAAATGGGCCAGTGATTGGCAGGGTATTTATTCTGGTAGAGGCTAGGGATAAGCAACACATGCAATACGTTGGTAATTTTTGTATCTTCCTCTCAATTTTGCTGTAAGTCTAAAACTATTCAAAACATAAATATTTTGAAGAGATTATGGGATAAAAGAATTTTAATTCTTTTTTTTTTATTGGATGATTTATTTACATTTCCTATGTTGTCCCCTTACCCCATCCCCCACCACCCCCTCGGAACCCCCAATCCCCTCGCCCCTCCTCCTTCTTCTCTGTGGATGTAACCTCTATCTACCCCCCCCACTCCCACCTCCCCACCCTCAAAATTCCCACCCCCTGGGGCATCCAGCCTTCATGAGGTCAAGGTTCTCTTCTTCCACCTATGCCCAGCAGGGCCCTCCACTTTTACATATTCAGCTGAAGCCCTGGATCCCCCCCTAAGTGCTCCCAGGCTGGTGGTTTAGACCCTGGGAGCTGTGGTTGGTTGGTATTGTTGCTCTCCTCATGGTGCCTTAAATCCTTTCAGCTCCTTCAGTCTTCACTCTAACTCCTCTATTGAGAACACCATGATCAGTTCAATGGCTAGTTGTGAGCATCTGCCTCTGAATATGTCTGACTCTTGAAGGCCTCTGAGGAGATATCCATATCAGGCTCTTATCAGCATGCACTTCCTGTCTTCCACATCAGCATCTACCTTTGGTGATTGCACATGGGATAGATACTCAGGTGGAGTGGTCTTGAGATGGCCCCTCCTTCAGTTTCTGTCCCTCACTTTGTCTCCATATTTGCTCCCTTGAGTATTTTGTTGCTCCTTCTAAGAAGGACCGAATCACCCTCACTTGGTCTTCCTTCTTTATGGGCTTCATGTGGCCTGTGAGTTGCATCTTGGGCATTTCAAGGTTCTAGGCTAATATCCAATAATCAGTGAGTGAATACCATATGTGTTCTTTTGTGATTGGCTTACCTCACACAGGATGATAATTTCAAGTTCTATCCATTTACCTAGGAACCTCTCGAATTCATTGTTTTTAATAGCTGAGTAATACTCCATTGTGTAAATATACCACCTTTTTTGAATCCATTCCTCAGTTGAAGGACATCTGGGTTCTTTCCAGCTCCTGGCTATTATAAATAAGGCTGCTATGAACATAGTTGAGCATATGTCCTTATTATATGTTCGAGCATCTTCTGGGTATATGCCTAGCAGTGGTATAGCTGGATCCTCGGGTAATGCTATGTCCAATTTTCTGAGGAACCGCCAGACTGATTTCCAAAGTGGTTGCACCGTCTGGCAGTCCCACCAACAATGGAGGAGTGTTCCTATTTCTCCACACCCTCGCCAGCATCTACTATCACCTGAGTTTTTAATCTTAGCCATTCTGACTGGTGTGAGATGGAATCTCAGGGTTGTTTTGATTTGCATTTCCCTGA